TCTCTTCTTGGGAAAGGAAAGTTGGGCAGACAGTGTACAAGAAGCCCCAACCCCCCTCTCCCCCATGAACATGAGCTAAGTCCCTGGGAGACACAGTGAGACACAGAGTTTGACCAAGATGCAGACCAACGGTTTCCACTTGCTGCACAGCTCTGTGTTGGGGGATTATGGAGATAGATCTGAGCTTTTCCAGGAAGCCTACTGGGTCTGAACTGGAGGTGATGGGCACAAGCTGCACCAGGGACTTTCATATTGGGTATTAGGGAAAATGCTTCCCCTCGAGGGTAATGAAGGTCTGAGTCCCAGAGAAGCTACAGCATCTCCATCATCATCATCAGAGATGCTCAACCCCGGACCAGGTAAGTCCTGAACAATTCAGTCTAGTTGGCTCTGCTTTAATCAGGCACGGATCAGAAATGTCCAGGATCCCCTTCCCACCTCTGTGACCCAGAGAAGCTGTGGAGATACTGGAGGGTGAAAAGGGCTCATTTCTTGAAATGTGCTAGCTGACTCTGAGCTCAAATTTGGTCCAGGAAATGGCTTACTCGGAAACTGTGCAAGCAAGTTTGTTGGCCATGGAACAGTTATCAAAAGTGTGTGTCCCTTATCCAACACTTGTGTGTTACAGCTGGGATCTATGGAGTCTCCCCAAGCCAAGGCCTCTTGGCAAGCTAAGATTGGCAGTGGCTGGGGTGTTGGGCCCCTCTCTAGAGGGGGGCAGTGGGGTCTAGTTTGCTGGACCTGGTGCTCCTGGTGGACTTGGCTGCAGGTTGCTTCCACTCTGAACCCTTGCTGCCTCCATGACGAGATGGCCTGGCCACAGCTTGGGACTGGTGGTACTACTATGATGAGCTGTTTCAGGCTGTGTCAGGATGTGCCTTGCCTTCTCCCCCTTGCAGCTGCCTGTCCCTCTTGTCACTCCCCCCCAGTCCTCTCCAGTGTGTATGCAATCATTTTGAAGCATGTGAGTGTTGCAGCACTGCTGCATATGTGCTCTCTAACTTGCAAGTGACCTCTCATATCTGCTGTTGTTTGGTGTTCTTTTGTTCCATTTCTCCCATCCACCCTGTTCCTGTGGACTTTCCTGTCTGCTGTCCCTTGTTTCAGGCAGGACCACTGCACCCTTTGGGCTGATTCCTGCAGCCAAGCCACTTGCAGTGGCCTAGTCAAGCAGAATCTCAGTGATGCCATAACTAGAGAACAGAGATGCCAAGGATTTCTTGGGTAACATCCCTGTTCTGCCAGCTTCATTCATGCAGGTATCTTGTGTACTGGGAGGGAACACCATGGCTGCAGTGAGGTGTTCAGTGAGCAATGTCAGGACTGGGTTATTTTCTTTATCCCAACACATCCTGGAGACTCGAGGACCTGTATGCTGTGCAGTCAAGACCTGGTGACTAGAGGAAAACACCCAAATGGAAAGTCACCAAAACTAGGACAAACTCCAGACCCAAAGAGTGCAGAATGACGGGAGTTGGGATTGTGTATTTTTGGAAGTGATGTCACGAAAATGTTCTGTATCCTTGGGGATGGGACAGATGTTGGCCATACTAATTGGAAACAGCAAACTGAGGAAATACAGTCCTAGCCAAAGCTCCTTCAGGAGAATGAGAGGACTGGGGCAGTTGACCAAGGTGCGATCCAATTACCTCAGCCCAAATTGAAGGAACACCTTAAAGAACATGCGTGATATCCAGGGCCAGGAAAAACAGCATGGCTTTATCAGAGCAAAGGTCCACCTAGTGGGCCACTGGCTGTGGTCAAAATTGAACATTTACTGAACAGTGTAAGAGAAGGGCAAGCAGATGTACGTTAGTCCCAACTAACAATTCCCTAAAGCATAAAGACCTCCAAACCAGGCATTTCCAGCAGTCTTTGATGTTTTTTCTTGCTAGAAAGTTACGCAATTTCCCGCTGCACGTATGTATACTTTGAGCACCCCTGATCAGTGAATGCACAGATCTACTGTGTGGCTTTTTGCTTTAGTCCAATTTCATTTGCTGCCCTGTGGATCTTCTGCAGCCCTGTGGGGAAACTAATGGGCCTTAACTGTTCTAAGCAGCCTCACTTGGGACTTCCCCATGCTCTTGAGCTACCTTTAAGCTCAAGCCTGGGCCTTCAGGTTTGTTTTGAGCAACCTTGGTGTTCCTGGTTTTGTCTTGCCTCTAGCCCTGTCTTTTAGGGACATAGGCCTTATTATCAAGTCCTGATTTGGCTCTGTCTCATGAGCACGTGGATACTGGACTTGGTTCATTGCTTGCTCTGTGGATGGACCCTGATACTAACACCTGTCTCGGTTCTGCTCAGGTACTATGGGACCTGTTCCTGAGGGCCTGGGTGTCACCCTTAGGTGGTGGCTAGTCACCCCTCATGGAGAAGCCCTATTCGTGCACCCCTCCGCTGACCAAAAAAAAAAGCATATTAAGAAAGGCCCTAAGCTAGTTTTACATGTACAGCAGTACCTCCATTCTGCTCATAGAAAAGATATGTTAAAAAAAGAGCAGCTGAAGTATCAGTAGTAGGAAGATCGGGAATAGGATGGAAAACATCAAACTGCAGGAGCCAGTGAAGAGGGTGTTTAATAGTTTCCCAGTTGAAATATGGATGAAGAGCTGGAAAAAGGATGAAGAAAGGTTTGTTGCAGTGGCCTAGAGGATTGAAAAGGCAGCAAGGAGGGCTGGGGTGATGCTTGGGGCATCTGGCAGCAGGGCCCATGCTAGCGTGGAGCTGTTAGGCAGCTTGTCTGGAAAGAACCTTGTGAGTAATCAGGTTAAGAGGCTTTTATGGCATAGTGTCAAGTGCCGTGCCTGAAGCTGTGTAAGAAGAGGGTTAGAAATGGGAATTTTATGACTGGGGGTTGTAAATGAGAATAGCCCTGAAAATAAAATGGGACTGTCAAGTGGCTGAAAACCTGCTTTAAGCTGCTTTCATTGTCACTGCCTGCTGGTTTGGTGAGGGAGGGCCTGCTGGTAACTTGTGTCCTGTGACGGTGGCCTGGGGACACAGCTTGGCTCTACAGTGTGCGTCTCACTGCCCTGGGTGAGAGATGGGCATCCCTGGAGGCTGAGGCAGGCTGAAGCTCTGGTTCCATTCAGAGCATGAGCAGGACAAGTGTCTTGGAAAACATCCCCAAGATGAGGCTAGGGAGGGAAGAGATGGCAACAGAAGGGATGAGCCAGCCCAGAATGAGCCAGCTCTCACTTCTTGCCTGTGTGGGACCCTCCTGCAGCTTGGGGAGCAAAAGGCCTCCACATGGCCCTGCCATCAGAAGGCCTAGGAAGAAGAAGGGAGTGTGTAGCCATCTCATGAGCAAGAGAAAACCAAATCCTGGTAACCTGCAGTGGTTGTATAGTTGCGCTAGGCGGGCAGACCAGCCTGGCTCTGGCTGCCAGATCTATGTGTGTTCATTGTTCCAAGTCTAATTGGTGTCTCCAGCTGTGCAGAGGGTCTTGCTGACCCTTTCTCAGCCTGGCATGACATGGCAGGGCCTCAGTCTTACCTGTGCTAGGTGTAGTTTGTGCTCAGCTTGAAGGGAAGGTGGCCAGGGCATGTGATGGAGGCATGTGAGTTCTAGCAGTCCTGCTGGGAGCTAAAAATGGCATGTGTGCTCACTGGAGGAGCATGGCTGGCGGGGAGGAGGGGGAGGTGGTGGTGGCAGTGAGGGGGGTGTTTGGTTTTGCAGTTACTCCCTTGCTCTGTAAGAGGTTGGCCCTGGGCTGTGGGAGACAGCTGTGAAGACTGGTGGCAAAGCGTGCGTGTCCTCTGAGTGATGAGGCATATATGGAAAAGGCTTGTGCGAGTTGCAGAACCTTCCGTGGGGTGCCCAGGAGACAAGATGGGTCTCTGGCAGGGCTGGTGCTGTCACAAGTGAGGTCTTCCCCTGGGGTGCAGTTCCTGTTCCCTGAGGACAGGGTGTGGGAGAGCCCTTTCCTCAGCAAAGGATGTTACTTTGTCCTCACAGCTTTGAGCTGTGGGGCTGTGGTCTCTCCTGCAGCTTTGCTAACTCACACGCAGCCTGCATTGCACACATTTGTCCTGGCTATGTGAGCTGTCCCTCCTGTGGAGGTCCTGGGTCACACCTGGGCAGGGGACGTGACCTGTGCCACCTGCTAGGAGCGCTCTGATCTGCAGAGCGGGGGTGGATAGGGGCTGTCATCTGTGCTGGGGCCTGCCCAGCCATCTTCCCCAGTGTACATGGTGTCCTACCCGTGGATGGCTGTCATACAGAACCCCATCCTCACCTCCTGTGGATTTGAAGGCAGCTGTGGTCCATCCTGATAAATGCAGACCCTTTCTCTTTGGACTAGTAATTAACCTGTACTTGGGCAACGCGTATTTTGGACATACCTGCTCAGTTCTGTGTCCTGCGCACCCTTGAGCACACACGTGCCCCACAGATCCTCCCCCTGTCTCTGCAGCCACCGGAGAGAGACAAGGGGGACAGACAGACCTTGCAGGGTCTGAGAGCTGCCGCGAGCAACAGCTAGTGGCATTACTTACAGGCAGGCAGGGTGGCGAGAGCCCCTCCTGGCTAGATCCTGAGGATGGCGAGGTAGATCTTTGAGCCACGTGGTGTGTCCCCTACGAGGACCCGAGTGCCTAGAGCTGGCGGGAGGAATGGGGGGTGAGGGGAGGACTGGCAGCGCGGGCGTCCACGTCCTCGCTCCCCCGCCCCGCCCCAGGACGGCCGGGCCGGGCCGAGCCCAGCCCTGCCCGGCCCGTCCCTGCCCCGCCCGGGCCGCCCGTGCGGTCCCTTTAACAGCTCCCTGCGTGTTTCAACTCGGGGGTGACGCCAGCGCGGCCGGGCCGTATGCAAATCAAACGCCAGCCGCCAGCCAATGGGCGCCGGCGCTCGGCGGCCGCGAGCCAATGGGACGGCGCCTCCCGGCGGGGCGCCGGCTCGCCCCATATAAGGAGCGCCCTGGCCATAAAAGGCAACATTGTATCGCTTTATATGGGGGCGGCGCGGCGCGGCGGGGGCGGCGGCGGAGCGGGGCCGTGAGCGCGGAGCGCGGCGGGGCCATGGCGGGGCCGGCCTGACCCGGCCCGACCCGGCCCGACCCGACCCGCGCTCGCCGCCGCGATGTTGCCGAGCCAGGCCGGGGCCGGGAACGGCGCCGCCGCCGCGCTGGCCCGCGGCTCCGGGCTGGGCCGGTCGCCGGTGCCGCGTGGGGCGAACGGCGGCGGGGCGGCGGCGGGGGCGCCCGGGGGCCGCCTGGAGCGGGAGGCGCTGTACAGCGGCAGCGAGGGCGACTCGGAGTCGGCCGAGGAGGAGGAGCTGGGCGGCGAGCGGCGCGGTGTGAAGCGTGGCCTGGCCGAGGCAGCGGCGGCGGCGGCGGCGGCGGCGGGGCCCGCGGCGGGAGCGGCGGCGGCAGCCGCCTACAGCGGCGGCGGCGGCGGCGGGGCCGTGAGCGGCGCCAAGCCCGGGAAGAAGACCCGGGGCCGCGTGAAGATCAAGATGGAGTTCATCGACAACAAGCTGCGGCGCTACACCACCTTCAGCAAGAGGAAGACCGGCATCATGAAGAAGGTGCGGCCCCGCGACTCCGGCCGGCGCGGGGGGGTGTCCCGGCTCGGCCCGGCCGGGGGTGTGGGCCGGGTCCCACCTGTCCGTGGGACGCCGGTCCGAGCGCGGAGCGGGCCGTGCCCGGAAACGCCGGCGGCTTCCCGGTGCTTCGGCCCGGCACCAGCCCCTTCCGGGGGGCTGCGCGGGAGCCTCGGGCGGGGAGCTGGGCGGCCGGGAGCGGGAATCCCCGCTGCCGGGGGATGTCGGTATGCCCAGCTGTCCACAGACGGCCAATATGCCCGGGGAAACCCGTCCCGGTGCAGCGTCCACCTCCGGGCCGCAGCTGACCCGGGCCGCTCCACGCTGTTAGCCATCGCTGGGTGTTTGGTGGCACAGATGGGCTGCCCTGCCTCGCCAAGGGGCCCGGCAGGGCTGGCTCCTCGGGCCGCCGAACGCCACGTCTCGGCCTGTCCAGAGTGCACTCCGTGGTTCCTGGTGTGCAAAGACAGATTAGAAACTTAGGGGAATTTGCGGGCAGTTGGAAGCAGCTGGCTCGCCTGCATCCCTGGTGGTGCACATAGCATCTTCTGAACAATCAGGCAGCACTGCACCCCAGCTAAGCTGGGCATCAGTCACCGTGGGAAGGTGGGAATGGGGTTCTGCTGGGCACATTCTGGATGTATGGGATGCAGAATTAGGCTATCCTGTCTGTGGAAGCTTGTGTGAGACCACTTCATGTGCAATGATGGCATATGAGGAGTGTACTTCCTAGTCTACCGGTATTCAACGCGGGGATGGTGGTGCAGTGGCACTTGGGTGTAACTGTGCTCAGGACTGTGAACCCTGAGAGAGGAATCTGGGTCCTAGTCTGGATGTGGTGTCAGTAAGGGCAACAAGGTAGCAGAGACACGTGGGCCCAGTAGTATCCTCTCACAGAAGTGAGAGGGAAAAGTATCCATATGTATCTGGAAAGGCGAGTGGGATTTTCAGAATGGAGAAATTTCATTATCCCTGTGTTTTCAGTTTACTGAGGGGACCACTTTACCTACCGTCTCTTGGCAGGCAGTAAGGGCATGCTAAAGGAGGTAGGGACACAGCATGAGGCAGTTCAACCTGTACAGAACCAATCTTGGGTTGGTTTTAGAGGCCACAGCTCCTTAGGCGTGACAGGGAGCCCAAGCTGGTGTGAGGAAAAGGAAAGTCGTGCTGGGAGTGCAGGGACATGTAGCCACTCTTGTTCTCCTCTATATGTTGTCCCTGTCACCTCTTCTGACTTCCCTGACTCCCTCTTCTTTCCTTGTTCTGCTGGCAGGCCTACGAGCTCTCCACGCTGACCGGCACTCAAGTCCTGCTGTTGGTGGCCAGTGAGACAGGCCATGTGTACACGTTTGCCACACGGAAACTGCAGCCCATGATCACCAGTGAGACAGGAAAGGCGCTGATCCAAACATGCCTCAATTCCCCGGACTCACCCCCACGCTCAGACCCCACCACTGACCAGCGCATGAGTGCCACGGGCTTTGAGGAGACGGACCTCACCTACCAGGTGTCTGAGTCGGACAGCAGTGGGGAGACCAAGGTAACGTTCCTGGGCACCCAGGGAGGAGGCATGGCCTGTGCCAGGAGCCCTGATCAGCCCCAGACCTCTTTAAATAGCAACTTAGGGAGCTGGGGATGGATCCCCTTTTGCTGCAACTGTATCGAGCTTGTGCCGTGTCCTCTTAGGGCTGTCTCCTTGGCTGACAACAGTGGTGATTTGAACAGCGAGGGAAGCGGGTGGCAGGTGTCCTGGTCTTTGCAGCATGGCTCCCCCCTGGCGCAGCCCACCCCCCTGGCCAGCTTTCAGTGCTGTTATCTCTCCCCAGGCGTCTCCATGCTCTCGCACTCATTGATAAAAATTTGATTCTGCCTCCATGGCCTTATAAGGCCTGGTTTCCCTCGCCAGAGTCCCTGGCAGGGCCCCTCACATTCCTTATAAGCTGCAGCTGTCTCTTGCTTTGGTGCTGTTTTGGAAGGGGGCAGGGAGGACATGGGGAATGGAAACATTTGGCTGGACAGACCATTTCTGCTCCCTGCCTGTTGTCCTTGCAGACGCTGGCCATTGCCCGCCTGTGTTACTTGTGGCCTTCTGCCCAGGGTGGCCTGCCCATGGGTGCAGAGTCAGGCAGTGGTGCTTTTCTGCTGGAAGGGCTCTGTCTTGTCCCTGCATTCCCTGCGGCTGTTCCTCAGAGCAGTTGCAAGAAAGCTGTCTCCTGTATCCTTCCTATTTCCTTTGCAGGCTGGTGCTCAGGTCCGCAGGTATTTGGAGGTGGGAGGCAGGAAAATTTTTGTGGTGCAAGGCTGGGTGACATGCTGAATTTGAAACTGAGCCACAGCTTCCCAGATCTCTGTGCAGTGTCCTTGGGTGCTGTGAGTTAGAGCAGTCCTGTATCTGTGCCTGTGGCATGGGTAGCGGGCTTGCTGCAAAAGTATCCTTCCAGGTGAACTGTGACCTTGCTCTAGGAGCTCTCCAACCATCTGTGTACAAGCCATAGCAACATCCTTGCCATGCAGTAACCACTAAACATTAAGCAGACAGAACCTTGAGATGTCTGTGGAATAATCACAAAGGTGGGAAGTGCAGCCCCGACATGTGCCCAGCATGATGCCTGGGGCTTCAGGGGTGCTCAGCTGCCTGTTTTTATGCTATGAGAGCACAACATTTCTGGTCACAGTGCTGCTGGGTGCCCAGCAGCCACTATTCTTCCAGGTTCACTTTCCCACATGTGTGCAGTGCTGCACCAAGCACAAGCTTATTGCTGCTGAGCCCTGAGAAACATCAGCAGTCCCAGAAATCCCTGGAGACAGAGCAGCTGTGGTGGGCCAAAGTGTTCTTGGCTGGAGACTCTATGCTGGAGCCCAGAAGAGTCTTTGGGAAGGCTTCCTTTTGATGGGACCCCAACACCAGTCCTGGCATGACTTTCCTGAGGTGCCTCTGATTCTCAATGTGAGCTGTGTCAGCCCTTTCCAGTAGGCAGAGGAGTCTGCTATGACCAGCTGTGATGGTTCGGACTTGGCTCCCTGCCAAATGCCCAACCCCCCCAGTAGCAGCCCCTCTTTTTCCCCCTTTCTACTTCCCCCAGGGCAAAGGAAAAAAAAACTATGCAAATTGAAGAACCCGAAAATCAAGCTAGTTATATAAAATCAAGCTAGTTATATAAAAAATATATTTTATGTATATTACAGTTAAGATGCTATGTACACAGCAAACGGGAATCCAAACACCCCCGAAGGGATAGGGAAAGGGGAAAAAGGGACAAAAGGAAACAAAAAGGGACACCGAATAGATATGCACAATCAAACCCGAGAACTAGTAAAATAACTAGTAAAATAACTAGTAAAACAAATCTCACCACGTCCCTTAGAAAGCAGGATGGGCAGACACTGCCAGCACTCTCCAAGCTTCCACGTGGCAGGTTAGTGGATGCTGCAGGCCTCAGCCTTAGATAAGCGAGACCAATGCAGGGACTGTTCCCGAACTTCGGCGGAAGAGAAGAAGAACGAAGGCCGCTCCTCCCCTCTTATTTATACCACGATTTACGTAAAAATTGTATGGAATACTGGGAACACTGCCCCTTCCTTGGTTACAAACTGGTAACCAGGGAAGGCCTAGATTAAAACCACCACACCAGCCTTGTGCAGCCTCTATTTGTAAGGACTCGTGTCTCTTGGGCTTCTCCTGGATGAAAAAACAAGTCCTGTGAGCATTTTGTAATGAGACAAATTGCTTGTACCTGTAGTAATTTGGATGTGTAGGAAGCACTGTGCATGGCCGATGACCTGTCCCTAGCATGGGACTTGTCCTCATCGTATCCCTTTAGATTCTTCCTGAAAGTACTGCTAATTAGCCCCAAATGAACTGTTCTCTTGGGGTGCACTTACTCTGCAGAGATCTTAACACAACTTCTCTTTCCCCACTTTCTGATGCAACCATGCAAGCTCCATCCCAGTGGTAATGCTTAGTGTGGGATGCTTTGTGGCCACAGCCTGCATTTGATGTGAGGCTGAAGGAGCCATATGGCCCTGTCTTCTGCTTGACATTCTGACTAAACCCACCCTGACCTGCTGAGAGTTCTTGTCAAGGCAAGCCCTGGGACTGGGTTTAGTCCTACCTTGACCTTCCCCAGTCCTGCTGTGCTTTCTGCCTGGAAGTTTGCTTGGTGCTCTGGCAGAGATCAGCCTGATTCAGACAGACCAAGAAGTCCTCTGGGAATTAAGGGAGCCTGTGGGCAGGCAATGCTAGGTGCCTGGCATTTGGTGAGGGATGGGTGGTACACATGGCTGGGTTACAGGTACCTCACTGGAGGAGGTGGCAGGAGATTCTGAGCCCGGACAATCAGGTCCAGCCATGTAGGATGCTCTGAGAGGCTCCCTGGCCTTCCTGTGTGAACTCTGCTTTCCAGATCTCTGTGTGGACAAAACCTGTTTGTGTTCAGCTGTTGCAGCAGAGTGGGAAGACAATGCAGCCAGGCTGTTACCTGCAGTCAGCAGCCTGCTGGTATTCCTCTGTGCTACAGCCAGCGGCAGCTATGAGATCCTTCTGTGCCAGACCCAAACTCTCTGCCATGATGCTGAGCTCGGACCACAGCTGGGACTGGGGTACACTGTATTCTCATGATGATACTGTTGCACACTGACCCCCACAACTTCTGCAGATCCCAAAGGGCACGGTCTGTGTACAGTCTCTTGGGTGTGGTTATGTGATCCACTCATGCTGTAAAGCAGTGGTGTGGGTCCGGGCAGACATCTGCTGCTAATGCTGCACCTCTCTGCTGTGTGCTGGTTCCCACACACTGCTCTCCAAACTGAAGTTTGCACTGAGCTGTGATGGGGAATGGATGTCCAGCTGGATAAGGAAGGGAAGGGAGTTCGGAGAGTTCTTGATGTTTGCCTCAAGGCTTCTCCATAGCCCCTTGGGTAACCTCTGCTGAAGGTGATCCATGGCTTGGCTCCTATTGAAGGCTGGCCTCGTGTGTAGTCTGGGCTTTGCAGGGTGTTGGGGAATGCCAAGATGCCCAGGGTCACTGAGGCAACCCAGACAGTCATGGGGATATGGCAGTGGGTGTCCAATCCCAAAGTCTCTCCCAGCTCTCTTTCTGTATTGGGAGCTATTGGTGCAGCCCAAGACAAATACAATAAAGATGGGAGGAATCTGAGTCTCCCTGTGTCAGAACAGGGAGTGCAGAGATGGAGTGTGCATGGTTCAAGCCTGCTGGCAACAGCTCTCCAAGCACCTTTTCTGCTCTCATCAGATTGAGGTTTGCCCTTGTGCTTCTAGGGAGCCCTGGGAATCCCCTTGCGTAGAGTGCTGTGAACTTTTTGGAGTGTCTCCTCAAGCCCTGAGAGTATGGAGTGCTCTGGCTGCCTGGGGACTATGTCTCAGGGTGTACTGCTTTAGAGCTATAGCTGGGGATGTGGAACCCTGGCTTTTCCAACTGGGAACAGGACCTGTCCTGCCCAACTCTGCTCTGGCTCTTCAGTGGGCTGGGGAGAGCTCTGCCCTGTCACCCCCATGGGGAGGGAACCCATAGCCTCCTGTGTCCCATGTGGAACAGCAGGAGTTTGTGGTTGAGCTAATGGAAAGTGCTGCTGCTGGGCTCTGCTCTGTTATCACGTGCCTCTTCTAATTCGGACTTCAGGCACTGAGGTGCCAAGGGTGTTGCTCTCCTCCCTCCCCAGGCCCTGGGGCACGGCTGAGTGCCTGGGATTGGATCCCCCTGTCCAAAATGGGCTGCCTTCCCTTTTTTAGCTGTTCGTTGAGCTGTGAATTCCTTGTTCCTGGCAGCTTGACAAGCTGGGAACAAGGCTTAGCACGTGGGAGAGCTGGGCCCACCAGCCTGCAGTGGGAGGGGTGGGAGTGTGGCAGCCTTAACTCTTCCCAGGCGTACTGGCAGCTGTGGCAGGACATGGAGATGGCAGATCCCTTGTGACTTGTGACATGGTCTCCTGTGAGGCAGTGCATTTTTAGTGTGCTCTTGGCCAGATGAGCAGGGCAGGAGAGGAGCCATGGGGACCCTGGGTATTTGAAAACTGATTTGGCGGACAGAGGCATGTTAGGTGAAATATGACTGTTAGAGACAGCAGGGCTTGGTTGAGTTCTGCAGATCCAAGCCACATCCAGCCACATGCTTTGTGGCTGTGGAAACTAGTGTGTTATGTGCTCTGCAGCCTGGCACACACATTCCTCCCTTGTTCCCAGACCTGGCAGGCCAATCTCTGAGGCAAGTGTTGGCCCAGCACAGGGCCCTTTCCCTGGTACTCAGTTTCTCTGGCGATGCTGTCGTCAGGCTTAGAGCTCTGATGCTCCTAGCAGGACTCTGCTGTGTGCTGGCTGTAGCTGACACGTGGGGTCCTTTGGAAGCATTTGCCTTGTGCTTGTCTCCTGCTAGTGGATTTGCAAATAGGGTCTTCCTACTGCCTTTTCTCCAGGAGATTTGTGGAGACATTCCCCAGGGCCTGCCAAAGCTGCCGTCAGGTCTGGGTCTCCCTGGTGTCCACAGGTTTGCCCTTGCTGACCTCTCCCCTGCTCCTTTCAGTGTACAACTGCCTTTAAAGAGCCAGTTCTTGGCTTGTTCTTGGTTGTGTGTTTCCTGCCTCAAGGGAAGTGCTGTGTGTTCCTGACAGGTGGCGGTGTATGCCTTTACGGCTGCCCCTGCAAGGACTGCTTTTGCCTGTTCTGTGCCAAAAAGAGGCTATTCTCCTATTAGATGTTCTGGGGACTCCCGGGGAGGGGAAGGGTTGCTTTGTCCCCTGATGCATTGCAGGGAAGGCTCTCAGGGGATCTGTGTGGCCCTGGGCTTGTATCCAAGGTTTACGCTGAGTACTCTCTAGCTTTCCTCATGCTGCGTTATTGGGCACAGTTTCCTCATGTTTGTACAAGCAACTCTTCTCTGCTGCCCTGGCTCTCCTCCATGTGCTGGCAGCAGGCTATGAGGGTATGGTTTGGCAAGGGGATGCAACCTACAGAGCCTGGTTTGGTGTCATGGGCAGATGTCTCATGGGCTGGTCCAAGTTTTCACCATCTCTCCTTTTGTAGGATGCACTGAAACCCGCGTTCACTGTCACCAACCTGCCGGGAACAACGTCCATCCAGACAGCCCCCACCACCTCAACCTCCATGCAGGTCAGCAGTGGCCCATCGTTCCCCATCACTAATTACCTGGCGCCAGTGTCTGCCAGCATCAGCCCCAATGCCGTCACCAGTGCCAACGGGACAGTGCTGAAGACTACTGGAGCCAGTGCAGTGACGTCTGGGGGCCTCATGCCAATACCCACTGGCTTCACCCTCATGTCAGGTCAGTGCCTTTAGGGGCTGAGGGCTTCATCTGTCCATCTTTGCACCTGGAGTATGTTGCTGTTCTCTCCAGGGGAGAGGAGGTCTAGTGGCAGAAGGGAAGCAGAGTGGGTTGTTGCTGTAAGGTGAACCTGGCTGAGATTCCTTGTGCAAACCCAGCCAGGCCAGTGGCTGGAGAAGGGTCATGTACTGACTGTTTCCTTAGAGTGCTGCTAGCTGGCCCTGCTGCTGGGAGGTGGCAGGGAGCTGAGCTGGGACCCCAGGGCAGCACCGAGAAGCCTGGAGGGAGTGAAAAGAGCTGGTGGTGACAAAGCCTTTCTTTCTCCCTCCTTTCGGCAGGTGCTTCCCTTTCTCCGGGGACCCCTACCATTCCTCTCACTCAGTTACAGCCGCACTCTCTGGCTCTTTCCAGCCAGCAGGGCCAGGTGGTCACAGGTACAGCTGGACAGCTGCAGCAGGCACAACAGACAGTCTTCCGCTTCCCTGCCAGAGCTGGAGGGCAGATCGTGTCGCTGACAGGTCAGCACTCGCTTCTCCTCCGCTTGCTAGAGGTGGGGGGATGGAGGTGTCTTTGGGTTCCTGGTCCTGGCCACACAGCTGACCACCGACTGAGGTGGGATCACAGAGGAGGCAGAGCACAGGGTACCTTTGTTGTGGCTTCAGATGGGAAGACAGGGCAGAAAATGCTTATGGTAGGCAGGAGCGGCATCCTGAGGGATACAGACCAAGGGAAGGAGTGGATTTTCTGTCTCCTACCTCAGGGTTTGGCCTGTGGCTAGGAAACACAGAGGAGACAGGTCTCCAGTGCAGCTGTGCTGAGGCTGAACTGTGCTGCTAGAATTGATGGAAGGATTCTGCAGGGGCTCAGGTGCCCAGTGGCTGCTTATTGAGCAGCAGCTGCTCTTGCTTTTGTGTTGGGATCTGCAGTCAGTCACTGAACCACAGTGGTTAGGGGAGACACAAAGCAGAGGAGTGGTGCTGCTGTGCTGCCTTGTGCACATTGTCCTTTGTAGGAATTTCTTCTTGTGCTCAGTCAAGGCTCCCCAGCTGTGGTGCTGTGGCTGGACGTGCTCCTGGCTGGAGTTTCAGAGCAGGGCTAGGCTCTCCTTTGTGGGGCAGCCATCGTCTGAGGACCAGCACTGACAGCATTTCTTGTGTCCTACCTGTTTGTGCCCAAGTCGATGAGTCTGATAGCCTGGGTACTTTCTTGGAATGCTTAAGGCTCCTATGGGCCCTGGCAGACAGCATGATCCCATGGAAGGGGACTGGATATCCCTTGTGATCTTGGAGGAACTAAGAGAATAACTGATGTATGTCTCTGGTGTGGTGTGTGGGGAGATGCCCAGTCTGAGCAAGGTGGACAGTGATTCCTGCCTCCTGACATCCCTTGCTTTTCCCTCTGGAGACAGGACCTCAGCCTTAGGGGAGCTTTCTGTGCTAAGCTTTATTTCTGGAACTTGATTGCTTTGGGCCAGAGGCTGTGTGGTTGTGCCCCTGCACCTCCAGGATGCAACACGTTGAGGCCATGTGTTCTGTAATGCCTGTGTAGGGAACTGTGCTGTCCTTGAGGTCACAAGCTCTGAGATAGCAGTGCCCTGAGTGCCCTGTGGAGGATGGAGCTGATCTCCAGACTGTGAAGGTAGCAGAGCCCAGCTCGTTTGGCCATTTGGGCTCTTGCAGTTCTGCTTTGTGCAGCGAGATGATCCTTGCAGAGCTGGCTGAGCGCTGGAGAGGCATATTCTGGGCCCTCTCCCAACATCATCTGTGCTGTGTCTTGGTGGAGCCAGGAACGGTGAGGAGGGCACCAGATGTTCCTGAATCATGCCTGGGACTTTGGCAAAAGCTGCTGTGGCCTGTTCTTTGCTCTCTGGAGCTCTGTGGGCCAGCTAGCTTCTTTTTGGCCCATGTGCCAGGAAAGAACAGGTTTTGGTTTCTGCCACATGCTGCTTTTGTCTAGCCTTCCCCAGTGCAGTGCAGAGTCATGCTGTGGAACTGTATGCAGCCAGTGGAAGGACTGGAGGGCTTTCACGTGGTCCAGAATGCCTGTATCCCTGTGGAGCCATCGCCTCATGGGTTCTTCTTTCTCCCCAGGTGGTACCATGGCTCAGCAGGTCCCAGTCCAAGCGATCCAGGTGCACCAGGCACCGCAGCAAACGTCTCCCTCTAGTGACAGCAGCACTGACCTTACCCAGACCTCTTCCAGCGGAACAGGTAACCACCTTCTGTCTGCTTTCCTAACTACTGCTGATAACAACCCACACCAACAAACCTCATGCCTGCTCCCTTCCCAGTTTCCTTCCTCAGACCAACTCCATCCCAGCCTTTCTGACAGTTTCCCAGGTGTATTGATCCCTGTTGCCAGCTCCTGTGCTACTCTGTATCTAGGTAGATGCTGCTGTGCCTAGGGCACCTTCCAAGGGATTTCAGAGCTTCTCCATTAACTCTTACAACACGGAACTGGGAACGGGTTGCCCGGTTCTCATATGGTTTCATAGTGAGCTAGCACTGCCTCTAGTACAAGGCGTTGGCTCACATCTGCTTGAGATTTTTACTACCTATGCAGAGGACATCTCTTTGCTGGCAAAATCTGAGTTCAGGTGCCTGGATGCAGGCTGAATCTACTTCAACAGCTTTATGAAAGCTTCATGAGGAAACTTGAGATACAAGTTGAATTTAGTCCTGGGATATTTGACTCCTGTGCTTTTCTGCCCCTTCATACTCGTGAAAGGAGAGGTTGGAGCTCTTCTTCTTGATCTGTGGGACTTTTCCCCAAGAGCTTTGAGGAAAGACAAGATGGGTATCTCCATGCACTCTGCCTCGGCACAGCGTGGCTGAGAGAGGGGTGCTGAGCGGGCATGTGAGTGTGGCAGGCCTCTTTCATGTGGCTCACATGTAGTCTGTCCTGGTGCCAGTGACCCTCCCAGCGACCATCATGACGTCGTCTGTGCCAACCACTGTGGGTGGCCACATGATGTACCCCAGCCCGCACGCGGTGATGTACGCGCCCACGTCTGGCCTTGCGGATGGTGGACTTGCAGTCCTCAACGCTTTCCCACAGGCACCCTCAGCGATGCAGGTGTCCCACGGCCAGGTCCAGGATCAGGGTAAGAGAGCTGTCTGGGTCAGTCCTCCCTTAAAGTGCATCCACACCCTGGTTTTCTCCTCTTGCATGTATTTATGCTGTATGTTAATTTCCAAGAATTTTCTTCTCAGCAGTCCTAGTGGCTGTAGAAAGGCCTGGCAAGGGTGATGCTTGATGTGCACTTCTAGATCTTGCCATTCTCTTGTGCAAAGGATTGCTTGAGCTCTTGCTGGGCAAAAAGGGTGAGGGATTCTGGGATGGGTGGCGTGTGGGACAGGCAGCAGAGGGAGCTAGGAGACTGGAGAGGTCATGTGATTGCATGAGGGAGTTAAACAGCATGAAGCCATGTGGTCAAGACTTGGATTGAGGACTTGTGCCTGCTTCTCCAAGCATCTGGAAAACTAGTGCATGTGGCTTTCTTCTGGAATGCCTCCATGTATGCAGATTGGCAGCTTTGTCCTTGTGAAGCCCCTTGGAGCTCAGAGAATGGATCCAAGTGGGGAGCACTGTTTAAGGGACAGTGTCATTTGTGCTTCTCTCTGTGGCAGGTGGTGTTCCCCAAGTGTTCCTGACAGCCCCATCAGGCACTGTTCAGATCCCAGTCTCAGCTGTCCAGCTTCACCAGGTAGGCATAGAGTAGTACTTGCAGGTGTCCAGGGGGTATTCTTGCTCTGCTCCTGCCTGCACATCCTTTGTGTACCTGGGTAGACCTGGCTGGGTAGGGTTGGTCTTCAAGGTCTGATTAAGCTGTCAGTGTCACCCACCTTTGGGTGATGCGGTTTTGTCCTCCGTGGACAGGTGCCCAGGAGGGACAGTGCCCCCCTGGCTGCTGGCACACACGGTGTCAGGGCGTGCTGTCCCCCAGTGGGTCCTCTTCCCTTTTCTCTCTAGATGGCTGTCATCGGGCAGCAGAGCAGCAGTGGCAGCAGCCTGACGGAGCTGCAGGTGGTCAACTTGGACACCTCACACAGCGCCAAGAGTGACTGAGAGGCCTCTGCTGCTGGCCTTTTGCACCTGGCTGGTCATGCCAGTGTCAGGGCTGGTGGCAATGCCTTCTCGTACAGACTGCACCAGTTATTTATTGTTGCCTTTTCACGTTTCCTTCATCCACACATGCACACACACACACGCACTCGCCCACCCCCACGCACACAGGCATGCGCGTGGGGCTGCAGGACCCACCTGGGGTGGGGCGGTGCTGGGGCCATGCAGGGCTTGGGGCATTTGGATGCTGCAATAGCTGTGCTTGTCTCACGCCAGCCAAAGAAATTTGTCTCTCGAGGGGAGGATTGCTCTGCACTGTAAATAAATACTGTGGGCCATTCCCAGCTGAAGGCTCTGGCTCCTTCTGGGCGCTCCGAGTCACCTTGCCCATGAGTGTTTACTCTGCGTGGGGCTCAGCTCAGTCCCAGAGCCATCACGCAGGCGCAGCTCAGAGCAGAGTGGGTTGAGGCTGTGCTGCTGGCCTCAGCAATGTGCCTTTGTGGGGGTGACAGGTCCTGGCTGCAGCAACTCACCTGGGCTCTGGACAGGAGAGAGGGGCCAGTTTGCATGTGCATCTCTGGGCCTGTGCACCCTCCTTCTAGGGGGCAGGGCACAGCTGATGGCACGTGGCCTTGTACTCCTTGTATGCACTACAGTGAGCCTTCTGCCCTTAGTGCCTCCTCACTGGGCTGCCTGGCAGATTTTCAGCCTGATTGGCCCAGCCCCAGCGGCTGCCCTTGCACAGCTGAGGTGGTCTGTAGATGTCCAGGAACACAATGATGCCCTGGAGAGCTCCTCGGGGGCTCTGTGCTCTGCTCAGCCCCACACTCTCAGCCCTCACACTGCTTATGGACTCCATACACCCAGGGGAACGTGGCTGGGTCTTTCTTACATCCCCCTGCAGCTCCAGCTGGCGTGTTCTAAATTTCTGTGTCTGATGCAAGGTGGAGAAACAACTCAAATGTCAAAGGGAAGAGCCCATGGGGCATTGAGCTGCTGGGCAGGTGGCAGGCTCTTCCTCTGAGCACCAGGATGATCTGCAGGCCATCCTGGGCTGTGGAGGAACAGCTGTGATGCCTGTACAGGCTCAGCAAGGCTGGGGGAGAAGGGCTGGAGCATGCTTGGTCCTGCATGGGAGTTGCTGTGAATGGCTCTGCTACCTAGCCCTGTCCCTGGAGGGAGAGTGAGAGAAGCTGCTGAATCCTTAGGGGAAGAAGCAGTTACTGTAACTTTTTTTTTTTAAGTTAAAGACAAAAGAAGCCTTGGAGGAAAAAAAAAAAAAAAAAGAAAATTACTTTATTTTTTTAAGTGTTAAACTCAGTATTTATGTAATTCTTTAAGGAATAAAAGTTTGGCTCCTGTACAGTTTTAATGGGGTTTGTACCAGGGGGACGGGAGAGGGGTGGGTGGGTGGGCATGGAGGCAGGAAAGGGGCCTTGCTTTTGAGTTTGTATTGTAACCTTGGACATGTTCCCTCAACATTAGCGTTTAAGCCACACTCTCCATCCACCAGCATGTGCCAGGGATCAAGCTCAACTGAGTGGGATGCTTGTTTCCCACTTATCTATACTGAGAACCTATAATTCTGGGCTCAACGGGCAGAAGGCAAGCAAAGTAGTGGTTAGTTCCTAGAAGTGGGAAACCCAGTCCTCAAGAGCAGGGGATCTGTAGCGTGTGTGGGAGCCAGAGCTGTGCTGGGTTTTCTGATGATCACCCTGTTCGCTTCTGGTCCAGGGACCTGCAGCTATTCTGTCACTGCTCTTGGTATGGAGCAGTGCTGCCTGTGACTGCCTAAGGGATATAGGCATCCCCACTCTTCCCTGGGTGTGGTGAGTGACCAGCAGTGGCTAATCCCTGCTCTCCCTGCTTGCTGTGCAGGTAGCATCTCCTGAACCCCTAGCTGAAGATCTGGGCTGTAGATCCCCCTCTACAGCCTTTCTGCAGTGCACAGATGTGGACAGGTCCCCTCCAAGCTCCCTGTACAAAGAATTCCCAGAAGGGTCTTTCAGCCCATGGTCTGTTAAGAGCCTGGGAAAGGCTTGTGGAGAGTTGGTGAGAGTGACATTGCATGCTGCCTCCCCCTAGTATCCTTGCTCTAAGAGTGACGCATACACTGCAGCTCAGAGCATGTGGGAGTGCTATGTCCCTTTGCTAGGTATATGAAAACTGCTCAGTAATGCTTCCAAAGCAATCTGGGTACCTAGGAGTTCATCCAGGGAGAAGTGTAGGTTTGGGGTTTGTGTTGTCCTTTGTCCCAGCACGTCACTGTGGCCTGGCTTTGCTCTGCTTTGCTTGTGCTAGCACTATGGAGCAGAGCTGTTGGGCCAGAATGGCAGGAGAGCCCCTGCTGCTACAGGGTGTCTGACTGCATCCCCTCCCTGGCTCCCCAAAGGCAACTGCTGGTTAAACGCTAATGGTGTATTTTATTTAAGTGCAGACTTGTAAGAACACTTGTGTATCAGGGATGAAATGGCATTTATTGTGTGGTGACATTTTTAGTTAATTTTACTGGTTTGAGGGGTGTGTGTGCGTGCGTGTGTGTGTGCGTGTGTGTGTGTGTGTACGCATAAGTGTGTTTGGGATTATTTTTTTTTTCCCCTCCAGTTTCCAGGGTTGTGTTTCTGGAAGGATGTGGAAGTAATCACAGTACTATGTACAGAGCTTTCTTTTGTATTAAAAAAAAATTACTCTTTCAATAAATGTTATCATTTTGTGCACAGATTTGGAATCTCGACCGTGCTTTGCGGGAGGGGATGACACGTACCTTAGGGGCAACGCATGGGGATCAAAGGCAGATTCCTGCATCTGTTTGTTTACTGTCAAGGATGGGGGTCTATCTGAGCGTGATGTGGCAAAGAGGGTCTCTTTACAAAAGTCTCCATCCCTACTGCCTCCTGCACAGGTGAGACCTGACCACCTGGACTTCTACTCTGGGAGTCCCAAACCTAGTGCAGGACCAGAGGGGGCCCATGGCTTACAGCAGGGCTGTGAGGGCTGTCCTTTCTGAAAGCTCTGGAACAGTGTTGCTGGGGAGCAGGGCATGGTGTATGTCAAGAGAAGTAAAAACCAGGAATGAGAAGGAATGGGGAATTTCGAAAAAGAATTGTTCTAAATCATGGGGGTTAATAGGGAGGAGCAGGGGGACTGTTAAACTCCCTGCAGAAAACTGCTATGAGAAGATATGGCAATATTCAAAATCCAAACTGGAGAGACAGGAGGTCAGGTCAAAGGCAAATACCTAGAAGCCAGGTCAAGGTCACATGGGGGCTCAGTAAAGTGTGTAAAGCTGTGAATGAAACCAAAAGGAAAGGGGCTCATTACGGTCCTCAGGGCTGCTTGGGCAACAGGCTGCCAGCTAAAAATGCTGCTATGTAGCTTCAGATCCTGGAGTGGATACCAGGATAGTGCGAGGAAAGCTTAGAACTGATAAAAGTCTGTGCAGTGGAGGCACAGCACCATTCCTCAGAGTGCCATTTGGAGAAAATATGTCAGTGCAGCAGGAGAGAAGATTGCACAAGAAAGCCTTAGGAGGAAAACACAGCTGAAATGGCTCTTTCCTCATGAGGAGGTGATGTGCTTCACTTTTACAGATTACACCACAGCCAGCCCCATGTGCAACATGCCTACAACAGGTGTGTCTTGTGGTTCAGCACACAAACCTCCTATCAGAACAAGCAATCCCATGTCACTTGTGCACAGCGGGCCGTCTGTGACATATGGAGCAAGACACCACAGATGTAATCTTTATTTTTAGGATAAATGACCTACTAAGCATAGAATCAAGACCATTGGAGCCAAGACATAAGCAGGCCACATGAACACCACAGAAAACCTCTCAGTGGCACAAACAAGATGTCTTGGTAGCGAACGGGGAAGGAAAATGACATGTTAAGTGAGAACGCGGAGATTTCAAGAGCATCCGTGGGATTCCGGAAAGAGAGCATCAACAGCATCAGCAGAGATTACATGCACTAATGGTGGAAATCAAGAGCCTGGCTTGGAAACATGAACATTTACAGCCCACCATTGCTTTAGAGGATGATCTCCACAAATGCAGCACTGATGCAGCACTGCACTGTTTTATGCAGCCTACAGTTAATTGCAATTATATTGTTTGGATTAATTGCTGATTGCTATTGTAAAACATGGAAATTATCTGATCAGTTACATTAGTACTGAGGGTAGAAATTAACTTGGGCACATGCATGAAGTTGCTCCAGCATCAAATAAGAAAGTAGAGTCTCATCCATTTTGCTGATTTTAGTGTCTGTTTATATTTTAAAACAAATGTTAGCCACAATCCAGGTTTCTGATGACGGCTGTGAGGCCTGCCAAGAAAGGGAAACATGGATAAAGGATAAGAATTTAGATTTTACAGTATGGGCATTTCACATCAGTGTAACACCAAAGGTTAAAAGGAACTGGAAACAGGACAAACTTGTGTGCAACAGGCTTCGATTGTCTCTCTAGGAACACTGAGAAAAGCACAGTCTCAGAGCCCCAAACCCGCCAAGAGCCAGTGCAGCTGTCACTGAAGCCAAATGGTGGATGGAGGGACGGTGGGTACAGGGCTGGCACCACCCCAGGGCCATGGGCCTGATGTTGATGTAATTTTTGATTAATAGTTATTATTACATTATTATTTGCAGTAATAATGTTAGTGCTGACATCACATGCTTTTAGCCTACCTTCCACCCATCCTGCTATAGCCCTTGATGAAGATCATAGAATCATAGAATAGACTGGGTTGGAAAAGACCTCTAAGATCATGAAGTCCAACCCCTGATCCAACTCCAATTACTTTATCATGGCACTAAGGGCCACATCCAATCTCTGCTTAAAAACCTCCAGGGATGGTGAATCCACCACCTCTCTGGGTAGGCTGTTCCAATGCCTGATTACCCTCTCTGTAAAGAATTTCTTCCTAACATCTAACCTAAACCTCCCCTGGCAGAGCTTGAGCCCATGTCCCCTTGTCCTGTTGTTGGTTGC